GGCATGATTGGTTCAAACCCACTAGCTGCTCCTAGAAAACCCTTTACAGGGTCATTATGAGTCAGAACTGACTTGAAGGTACTTAACAACAACAAAGAGGTAATAATTTGATAATGGGGTCATGTAGGAGAGAGGTCAGAGGAATAAAGCAGAGAAAGTTATTTCCCTCACTTGACTGGTGGGGGAAATCAGACAAGGGTTCCCAGAGGCCACAAAGCTGAAACTGTTAGAAGAATTTACAGAAGCAAATTATATACATGGGAAAGAGAGAGCGAGCATGAGAACATGGCAAAAAATCATTTTGTTATCAGCTGTGCAGTTTAGATATTTTGAGATTAAGACAAAGAAGAATACAGTGTTAACTGGATTATAAAAATGACTCAATCTGAATTAATATACTAAGGGAAATCGTAGGGGAGAATCAACACCAAAAAGAAAGGTGTGATTATTTAAGAAGCTGTGAGTCACAACCAAGGTTAAATTTGCAAAACAGTAGACTCTAAATAAGCAAACATAAATAGCAATTATTTAAAAATAAATATTAGAAATTTAAAAGTTTTATCAATTAACTAACTTTTAGAACACTTTTAAATTCAAAGAAAAAAATTGGACAGTACAGAGATTTCTCATATGCCCCTTCACACACAGTTTTCCCTACAATTAACACCTGAATTAGGATGGCACATTGTTATAATCAGTGAACACTGATACGTTAGTATTAATTAAATTCCATCATTTATTCAAATTTTGTTAGCTTTTACCTAATGTCCATTTTCTGTTTCAGGATCTGATCACCATTATTTTGATTGTTTTTAGGTACTTCTTAAAAAAATAAAAGCACTGAATAATTTTCCAATGGCAATTCCGCCCCCTACTCCTGATAAATATCTTAATAATATCATTTGGCTGGAAAATAAAGAGATTCTCATTGAGTTTTTCAAGGTAAAGCTTTGCTCTTCTATTCTGGCTCAAGTTTGATGGTGATTATTTTCAATGCTTTCCACTCCTTCATGTACAATAAACAGAAAAGCATAGGCAAAGCACAATGCAATGGTAAACCAAAAGAGAAGCATAACAGAGCCAAGAATCTTCTTGCCCTCCTTGACTAAATGTACCTAGCCAAAGCTGTCAGGCATTCTCTACCCCTTACAGTGAATAAGGAGGATCGTAGAAAAAAATGATGCTTTTGAGTTATGGTGTTGGAGGAGAATATTGAAAGTACCATGGGATGCCAAAAGAACAAATATGTCTGGAGAAAAATATCATGTTTGGTAAGATGGAGGTTCAGAGAAAAAGAGGAAGACCCCCAGTGAAATGGATTGTCAAAAGTGGCAGCATTGATGTACTCAAGCGCAGCAACAATTGTGAGGTTGGCCCAGGATTGGTCAGTGTTTCGTTCTGTTGTGTATAGGGTTGCTATGAGTTGGTACCAACTCTATGGTACCTAACAACAAGACCTTACAAACATCTCTCAGTCTTTAAGTGGTCCTTTCCTTAATATAGAGTCCCTGGGTGGTACAAATGGTTAAAACCCTATGGAGCACAGTTTTACTGTGACACACATGGGGTCGTCATGAGTTGGAGTTGATGCAACAGCAAAAGGTGATTGGTCCCTTAATATGAATAGTTCTTGATATTCATCTGCAAACAATAATGGCATCCAACCTCCTCTAACGTTAGGGAGAGGAGAGAGAATCCACATCAACCCAAGATTGGACATACCTTCTCTCTTCAACCATTTACTATTTCAGACACCAGTGGTCTCTCCCACAGCACTCTCTGCTTCTTTGCTGGGTTTGATGATTCACTGCAATGATCACACAGAACTCACAGACTATACTCAAAGTTACGGAGTTTATTAGAAAGTAACAGGTTTAACTCTTCACCTCTTATCACCAATAGACAACAACTTTGGATCAGTATCAGGAAGCATGTAGGTGAAGTCTCCCTTCTTTAGTGCAGACAATTCTCTCAGCTCCTCTTGACCATGCAAGGTTCCCATTGGCTTCCTCAGGACAGGTCTCTTCTCTTGGCTGTGTGGCCCTTTGGCCCCTTGGTCTTTTGGTCTGGCCTCTGGTCTATTTGGAGATGTTACAAAGCTCTTTAGCTCTGCTAATACGTGCCCAGAGGTACCCTACTCCTCCAGCAAGCCTCCTGCCTAATGGAACTCCACTGTGGGTCAGCATGCTCACTGTAGTTGCCTTAGTTCATGCTAGTCTCTTGGTTCTGCTACAGTTTCTCTGCTGCTGGACTTTGCCATGATTGTCATTGCTTCTCTTGTTTCACACCTTCTCCAGTATTACAGCTTTCCATCTCCTGGGCTAGAAAGTTCTCAGCTCAGGGACCCTGGGTTCAAAGGATGTGCTACACAATTGACTCTTCTTTCTTTCTTTTTTTGCTGCACAAGACCTCTTTTTTTTATTTAAGGTTTTTATTGTGGATTGAGTGAAAGTTTATAGGGCAGATCATCAGTTTTACATTCAACAAATCATACACCTTGTTTCATTACAATGATTATAATATCCTCCATGTGCCATCATCAGTTAACAGTATTTCTCTCTATCCACTTTAGCTTTTAAAAAAAAACAAAAACAAAAAACTCTCAGGAATATATAATAATTTGCATCTCCAAAGGGCACATTCTGCAAGTGCCTCCTGGCCACCAGCTCTTAGTCCCTCTCTTCCCAAGAATCTAGAGTCCTCAACAGCTCCACCTCTCCTGTCCCCATCTCTGCCTCCGTCTCTGGTGTCGCTGCCTCTCTGGATAAGGTCTCACATTCTGCTTGTGCTCATCTACCTTGATGGTCTTAGGGTCCTCTGTTTCTGGACTGTAAGATTAACCACTCCCCTGTTTTTGTTACAAAACTTCTACCTTTACAACTGTGACAGTTGCAATTAGTCATGATAATAATTATTCCCTGTTGAGTCATACAGATCTTATCCCCATCTCTTTTCACCAGACCCATCTAGACAAGCTGAAATCTATTCAGTAGGGACTCTTTCTTTCCCCCCATACTCTTAAACTAAACTCCCTCTTGAAACCTTCTAAGCCAGTCACTTTGTGCCTTTATCGCACCCTCACTTTAGGTAGCCAATGTCTAAATTGTCTGTCACTATCAACCATTTATATAGATGGGATACCATTGATACTTGATGTGAAGACTCCTTCCCTCTCTGTTGGTATTTAGAGTTACTACCTCCAAGGAGCTCTGATAGCGTAGTGGTTATGAATCAGGCTGTGAGCCGCAAGGTCAGCAGTTTGAAACTACCAGCGATTCCGCGGGAGAAAGATGAGGCAATCGGCTCCCGTAAAGATTTATAGCCTCGGAAACCCTATGTAGGGTCACTATGAGTCAGAACCAACTCCACGGCACATAACAACCACCTCCATGAGTATAGGTCAGGTTCATCAAATTGTAGCAATTTACCCTTCTTTCCTTTACTTAAAAAAAAAAAGTGTTGGGTTTTTTTTTTGTAATCTTCCTTAAGTCGAGTTATGATTGATTATCAAGCCATTGATAATAGGTACTTTCTCCAAGTTTGGGCATTCTTGTGCATCTCTTCTCACTTCATATCAGCTGGATGCTTCACTCTCAACTCTAGCCCTCTGTGGCTATGTCCTTGTCCATGGGCTCAAGTGTCCTCAGGTCTCACTGCACTTTGGACCAACCAGCCCATCCTCTTTTCTCTCATCTTCAGGTCAGCAGGAGTTAATGGACTGTGGCTGAACTTAGCCCATTTCTTCTTTGCTGCCTTTCCCCCTCTTCCACTCACCAGTAAAGCAACATGGTTGCCAGAAAGCTTACATGCCTGTTTGTGTGTTACCTTTGAATTTCATTCTTAGAGAGGAGTTTGTCCTGAAGTTTGCTTGCCTTGATGGCTTCCTGGCAAACATCTTACTTATTCTTGTAGTAGCCAGTCATGCTGACATTTTCATTTTGGGTTTTTCCTAATGATCTTTCTTTGAAGATGTATCTTCTGTCACTCTAGCTGTTTTAGATGGTCTACTTGTCCTTGCTAGTGGGAATAACCCTTCTCATAAGGTTCTGGATGGGACTCAGGATTCCACTTAAGGTCCTATACTCTGCAAAGGCTTTGCAAGAGGCGTATTTCACTGGGCAAGTTCTAGAACCCCTTTTAAGTATTCCAGTCAGTTATAGGCTGAAGATGGGCTTACAACTTTTCTGTAATCATGTTTCCCAACATTCCTTTCTATCCCACTCAAGTGTCTATTTTACAACAGTAGATAAGGGAAACCAGTATTCATAAGACAATCAAGCATTTTAGCATTATTTCCCTTCTTCAAGCTATGCCTAGATCCCTGTATCACAGAGCCCTGTTGTTCCAAGGTTGAGCATGTATTACTATTTACTTCTGTCCCACTTAGGACATGCAAACCTGTCTCAGTGTTGCCCTATCTATCTTGTTCTTCCACCCCTCCCCCTTCTTGTATTACCATCCCTAACAACCAAATTAAAACCGCCACCCCAACCCCACTGTTGTGCTTACCTTATATTCCATTAACTCTTCCCTCCATTTAAGACAGTCTATTTTACCCAGTAATCTACCTGACCTTCCCACCACCTGGATCTCTGTTCCTCTGTTCCTCTGTGTTTATCTTCTTTCACATTGTCATTGTTTTGATCATAGACTGACCTCCCAGATCCTCTGTTCTCATAATTTTATTCTGTTCTTGACTCTTCCATT